GTGTATAAGAGACAGGTGCTAAATCCACACACTTTCTCCCCACGTCAGGGAGAAGGGAAGGTGGTTTGGCTGGTGAGATCCCCGACGTCAAGGATTTCCTTACTGTCAGTGGTTATTTTTGAATTTCTTCAGCTAAACGCACAAGGTGCTTGGCTAGAGACTAACATTTTTGGCCTCAAAAGCCTCTGAGATCCCGGAGCGATGGGTCCAGCCGTGCAGCCAGCCCCGAGCTCGCCCCATCCCACACCTGGCCCCGGGGGGCGCCGGAACGTGTCACCGGTCCCGTGGACCCCTCATCCCTGCAGACCCTCTCTGCCTTGGGACAGTTTGGGGGGGGCAAGAGCTCTCCTGGTCTCCCAGAGAGCAAGAGAGCCGGCCTCCACGAGAGGGAGTGTTTGCTTGATCCCAGCTGGACTGTTGGGTTGGTTTTTTTGTGGTTTGTTTTTTTTTTTTTTTTCCCAGTTGCTTTCAAGAGGAGATGCATCCCTCCAGTTTGGGGCCAGCCTCGGGCTGACAGACCAGGCAGCCGGAGCCCTTTGCCTGCATGAATTGCCCCTTTTCCTGGGGTGGGGGGAGAACTGAGCAAAAATTGCAGCTTTCCTCGGTCATACTGCAACGTGCTGCGCTTTGGTGACGCGAGGGGAAATCCTGCTCTTTCCCAGGGTGGATGGCAGGTCCCTGCCCCTGTGCCCCACCATGGGAACAGGAGGATGTTTTCCTCCTTTTGGCCCATTTATTGAAGAGGGGATGATGTGACCGGTGAGTGTTGTGACTGGTCTTGGCCAAGCTTGGCCTACAAGAGAGGGGCTGAGCAAGCCCCCCACCATGGGCAGCAATGATGGGGCACACTGGAAGGTGCTTCATTGCTGGTCCAGGCCTCCTGGATGGGGATGGTCAGAGGCACCCTGACCCTGGATACCCCGGTGTGGCTCCTTGTGGCAAAAAAGGGGCTTTTGCAGCTCACACACTTGCCCTGTGACCTGGGATACTTTGCTGGGACCCCACTTCAGGACTGGGGGGGTCCCACCACCCCATATCTCACTGCTCCCCTCTGTGAGGTCTGGCCGCTTTGAGACCCCACCAATGTCTGTGAAGCCTCCAGAATGGGAAAGAGCTGTTTATGATTTCTCAAGTGACTGCCACAAATCCAAGGCCAAAACTCCCACTTGTGGGGGCGCAGGATCAGGCCCGGGTGCCTTGGTGGCTGCGTGTGCTGTGGGTGGTTTGCAGGAAAGATGCACGACCAGACCGAGCCCTCGGAGGGGACCTGGGTCCTGCCCTTCCCGGGCGCCAGTGGAGCCTGTGAGTGCTCAGACTACCCTATCTGCAAATTGCAGAGCAGATTATCAGCGAGTGTGTCTGAGATTAGAGACCCATATTTATGTCTGCTTCTCCCAGAGCCAGGGAGGCCGCAGCTGAATTTGGTGCAGACTCCTTGGCACCATGGGGCTGATTACTGGGGTAACCTTTTCCTTTTCTGGGAGCATCTGAGAGTGCTCAGATGATTTTCAATTAAGGAAAGAAAAAAAGAGAAAAAAGGAACACACAACAACAGCAACAGTTTCGTCCATCAGGATGGTGGGAAGAAAGTTGGATGCATCTCTGAGATGCCACCAGTTTGTGCAAGCTGTGACCCACAGGGCAGGGAGCGAGTTCCTGGGAGGGGTTGACCCTGTATGCACCCTTTGGTGCTGTAAATTCTCAGTTGAGGACCCTGTGAGAAACCCAGAGATGGTGGGTTCGCAGCTGCAGGCTGCAGAAAAGCTCCAGGGCTGCTTCTGCTTCTCTGTCCCAGCTACATGTGCCCTGCCGAGCACACCCGGCGCAACGCTTGCTGTGGCTGGGTGGCAGAGCCTGGCACGCTGCGGGGAGGGCTTCCTCGTCAAACCGGAGTGAGATATTTTTTTTTTTTCCTAAGGGCTCTGGTTAGGAGAGATGGCAAAGATTTCTGCAGGCTGTGTCCTAGGTAAAATGTCTGCCCGGCTGCTTTGACCGAACCTCAGGCTTTGGAGGGTGCACAGTGGCTTTGCTGGGCCAGCCCGGTGCCGCGGCCATCGGGAGTGGATAGCTCCAGCCAGCCCGAACGGCTTAACAGGTTTAGTGCGGCGTTGTTCTTATAAACAATCACGTGAATTAGTACAAATCTCATTAGATCCATGCCTTTCCTGGCCCCCTGTGTTGCTAACGCCAGGGGCAGCCCTTTGCGGGGATCCCGCGCGGTCTCGGGGTGAAGAAGCTCTTTCCGACGAGCTCCGAGGTGCTGCTGTGGGTGCTCATTTTGGGTTTGCTTTTCTCAGAACCATTTCCATTAAGCTAAATGGGCAGGAGAGCAGAAATCTTAATAGGTAAAAAGCCATTCAAGGTCCCTGGCTATTTTAAACCTGATTTAAAGCTTTGGTCACTCTGTTAAGACGGTGATTCAGCTGACGTTGCCCAGGGGTGCTCCTCACGTCTCCCCTTGTTAAGCAGCTCTGCTCCGGCTCAGCAGCAGCTGGCCCCAGCAGCTCTGCTCTCCCTTGGCTCTTGCTCTTGGCTGGCCAGTAGCCTACTGCCGCAGGGAACGGGGCTGTCTCGGCAGGGTTTTATAGCACGTTCGGTTAAGAGTTTAGCAGCAGAGGTGGTCGGTGCCCAGAAAACATGGGAATTGCAGGTTTAGCCCGGAGCACTTTGGGAGAGGGAATGGTTTTTCTCCCATTGGTGCTGTGCCATGCACGCCTGCTGAACGCTCCCAGCTCCCGGGCAGCAACAGGCCTCCGTGTCTCCCGTTTCTCCTCACAAATCGCTCCAAGAAGCGATGCAGGAGTCTCCCTTGTTCCAGAACCACAGCCGCTCCTGGGGTGAAGCACCTCGGCGGGCGCCTCAGGTTGGGCTCCTGGGAGTTGTAGCAGGAGACACCACAGGAGCTTTAATGACAAAAAATGTTTTTTACATCCCTGCTGAAAGCCTGTTGCTGCTTCACCTCTCGGCAGAGGAGGGATGCGAGCAGCAAAGGACTGGGGCAGGCAGCAGAGCTTGAGAAAGCTGCTCCCCAGGGACCCGGGCTCTGGTGGAGCAGCCCAGGATAAGCGAGCATGAGAAAAGCAGGCTTAGTCCTCCAGTCACCCGTTAGATGCATTTCCAGCTGCTTTTCATCTCACTCTGAGTTTAAAAGCCATCTTATTCCAGCACCGATGCTGCTGCCAGCCCCGGCATGGCTTCAAAGCGGGGCTGTCTGGGGGTGGCCCGGAGGGAGAGGCGCAGGCAGGAGAGGGAGGCCCGTGTCCCAGCAGCACTGCCAGCCCCACGGGAGCTGCAGCCCAGGGGGGCTGGGAGGGCCTGGCCTCCAGCACCCCCCGAGCACTGGGAGTCTGTCCCCACAATGGGTCTGGGGCTTCCCAGGGAAGCGCAGTGGTACGGGGCTGCTTGAGGGGGACGTGCCAGGGATCCTCTTTCTCCAGAGGCTTTTTGTCCCTCTAGCACGAAGCTCAGCCTTGCAGTGGTGAGCGAGGTCACGTCTAAGCCAGGGATCAGTGACCTCTCGGAGCTTTGCATCCCCTTTTTACATTCCCACTTACCTAAACTTCTTCTCCCCTGCCGTGCTCTGCGGTGTGGCCGAGGACAAGCACCAGGAGCGGCCAGTGACACCCACTGTCACATACCTAATTCTGGGGGGACACCGGGGATCCCACAGGGCTACAGAGCGTGCTTGTGAGGTTAGGCATTTCAGCCACCTGGAAATGAGAGGCCGGTGAGTAATGCAGCGCCTGGCAAAGCTGCGATGGTGTTGGCCATCAGGATGGTGGTTATGCCCATCACAGCTCGGGTGACGCTGGGGGATCCCCACTATTACAGAGGGGCCGTTGTCCGAAGTGCTGGGGCTCCCCACAGCCCGAGTGAAGGCTGGGGATGGGGTCTGCTCCATCCCAGGTCATGCACGAGTGATTTCACCCCAACAGTGCTGCTTTAGGAGGAGCTCGAGGGTCTGAACTGCGTGTCAGGCTGGAGGCAAGACCTGAATTCAGCTGATGGTGATTTCCGTGGATTTACTGGAAACACTTTTGGAGTCAGCAGTTGTATTTGCTCTTCCTTTTTGGCTCTTCCTCAAAAGAGAAACACCAGATATGCAGCACGTTATGGTACAAGCAGTGTCTGCTTTCTGGGAATAAGCTCCCAAACCCCCTTCTGGGCATCATGGGGTGTCTTCGTTGTCCCCAGGGCAGGCGCAGGGGAGCGCAGGGGCCGAGTCGGGAGCCTGGGCTGCCTAAGGATGAAGGCACATTTTTTTTCCTTGTCCCCCAGTACTTAGAGGATGAGCAGCAAACCTTCCCTGATGGAAACATGCTGCCCAGACTTTTCTCTTCTTGGCCTTTGTTTGCCAAGCACCCGGATGCGATTCTCTGGTTTTTCCAAGAGCTCTTGCTTCAGCAAATCTGTCGGGAGAAGTGCACTTACTGCTCAGTGACAAAATGCGTTCTTGAGATGGAAAAAGCTCTTTTCAAGGAAAACATGACATTTCAATGGAAAAGTAACTTTGCATGCTGTTTCTAATTTTAAAGCTCTTGCCTTGGAATGCTCCCATGGACTTTGAAATCAGAGCTGGCTCTTATGCTTTCCAGGTTTTATCCACCTTTCCCATATAATTTCAAATCGTTCCCTCTGTTAACGAGACAATATTAATTATGCCTTGGTGGATTTTGCGTAGCTTGCTTCCAAAGCACAGTTTCCCTTATCCCATCCTTTTTTTTTTTTTTTTTTTTTCAGCTCTGGGTTATAAGGACCATTAGGCCAGACTCTGGGAACTGCACAAAGCCCCGTACCTGGCTGATGCCTCCTAAATGGACAAATGAATGGAAGTGCTTCCCTGTATCGCTCTGTACTAGGATTAACTCTCATAGCCACATGCTTCAAATTAATGCATCTGCTCATTTGTGAAGCATTTCATCTCTGTTAAACGTTCTAGCATTAATTTCCCCCTGTTAATCTGACCTGTGTCATGAGGGAGAAATGCTGATTTTTTTATTTTATTTTTTTCCCCCCAAGTATTTTGCAAAGTCTGGGTTTGGCCTCGCTGAGCTTAACTCTTTTAAAAGCAGAGGAGCAAAACCGGGTGAGTGAAGTGCTGCAGCCGGCCGGATCCAGCAGAGGGGAGGCGAGAGCAGAGATACTGCTTTTCCCCACTTCAATAAATTTCGGGAGAGGAGAAAAATGGCTACTGGCTTATTTTTATTATTATTTTCTAAATTAACAGCAATTCGGTCAAGCCGATAACACCAGCTGTGTCAATAGGAACCAACCCAACAGCAAACCAGCAGCGTCAGGTGAAGCAGTGGGGCAGGCAGAAGCTGGGGGGTTTCCCCCATCCCTCGTCCCCCCAATTCCGAGGTCAGCCCCAGGGCTGCTGAGAGCCAGGATCACCCCAACCTCGGCCCCTGGACTCCTGCTGCCACTGCCCGCCCCCCACCTCCCTCGGTGGGTGAACGGGGCAGACGTGGCATTCATCCATCTCACCGGTGGCCCAGGGTCCCCAAATTGTGCAGGGCCTACAGCAGCACCCCTCCTGTCCCCAGCGGGGGTCACTGACCCGGGCACCCCTCCCCGCCGCAGGGCTGCTGCCGACGAGGTCCCGCGCTCCGGGAGAGTGGGGGAATATTTACACTGGAAGATGGTATCGTGGTGCTGCTCGAGCTGTCCTTTGAGGTGAAGCACAAACAGGTTCATTTAAACAAGGTCACCCCTTTAACAGGTTTAAGTGGGTTTCACTGTAAAATGAATTTATTTCAACAAAACCTTTTTTGATAAATTAAACCAGCACAGCTCTGTATATAATTTCTATAAACAATCTTCTCTAATGTTTACCTAACCTGGGCATGCAGAAACTCTTGCACATTAAATATTAGATGAAAAGGGGCTATGAAAGCTTTAAATAATTTTTTTTTTTTTTTTTAAGCATGAAAGCCAGCATGCCATGGGAAAATACTTCACTGCTTTTGAGCTGAGGCTCTCCAGGGTCCTGCTAAGGGGTGAAGGGAGGCAAGCCCCTTGTGCTGCCATGGCTTTGTGTTGGTTTTTTTTTTTTTTATTTCCAGGGCTGTGGCAGAGCTTCAGCACGAGGCTTGGTGGGTTTGCTGTGTACAGGGTGCTGGGTGCTAGCACCCATCCGTGCCCCCCTCTGTGTAGCTGGAGGCTGGCAGTACAATGGCTTATCTCCTCCTGTATCAGGTTTGTGGGGTCCTGTGAAGCCCGTAACTCTCATTAATTTGTGAAACATTAATTAGTTAATTTATTAATTAAAGGGCTGCAGCCCAGCCCTGTCCAGGTTTGGGAGAGCTGAGAACTGTTTGTGCTTTGGAGCCCTGCGGTGTTTGGGGCTGCGCTGGGTCGTTTGCTGAGTGATTTGGATGCTTTCCCTTGATCGCCCTGATTGCAGAGCACCACTGGAAAAAGATGGGCATGACTTCAGTGAGGACACACTGTCTGGCTCATAGAAGATAGCTCTGGTGAGTGAGAGATCTTCTGCCTGCGATGAGACTAAAATTCGCCTGGTAGGGGAGATGTAAGTTTGAGTGAATTTGTGCTGCTTGCCTTCAGGAAGAAGGAAGGGGCAAGTGGGCTGGGAACATTCCTGTGGAAAGCCCCAGCCTGGACAAAGCAGCTCCCTTTCAGCTTTGCTCCTCAGGGGCAGATCACTTCATTGCCTCAGCTCCTTCTTGGGCTGGACTCTTGGACTTGTAGGAAAAATCTTAATCTTAAACCAAGTCCTTGCTGCAGCTGACTTCTCCCTAAGACATCACTGAATCATGTCCCAGGTCCCGCTGTTACGTGAAAATAAAGGGAGTGTGCTTTGCAATTAAGCATATCTCTTAATTGTATTGAGGGGAGGACAGCAGAAACATTTCTCTGAATAATTCAGTATTTAGAGATGCCCTCACACAGCACTTGTCCTGTTCAGATCCTTATCTGGAGCCTGCTAAACCAACGCTTTTGTCACAATTTAAATTATCCAGTAATATATAGACTACCTTTGGCTACTTTAGGGCTGCTAGGGTATTAATCCAATGAGCTGCACCATGGGGCTGTTTGCAAATCAATCAACCGGTGCAGCTGCGGTGGGTTCTGCAGAGACCTGATGCCATCAGGGGAGCACCCACCCTAAAACCAGCCCCCCTGGCACCTGAGAGCCAGCAACTCCCTCCAGCTGGGATGCCCACCACTCCCTAGTGTTTTTTATTGCCTGTTGGTAAAAGTTGGGGTTTTTTTTTTAAAAAAAAGGGTTTTGGGGGCTATTTAGATAGTTCCCCATAGTCTGCTCTGGCAGGTGACAAATAACCTGAAACGGTGAGGTGGGTGCTGCTGGTTAGAGTGTTAACGGTTGGTAGTGGCCAAGCAATGTGCTGCGAGGCACAGCTGCCTGCAGGAGGGAGAAGTGAGATAAAATGACACAGAGATAGAAACGATTTAAAGATTTAAAGCAGGTCCCGGCTGTAGGACTCGTGAGGCGGGAGAGTCCCTGTCTGCCAGGGCGGGACCCAGCGGCCCCCAGCCAGTGCTCCAAGTGGCTTTGTCACTGTTTTCAGTGCAAGTCCATAGAAACCCTTTTTCCTGCGGGCAGGGAGAGCCTGTGATGAGCTCATGAGTTTCTTTGGGGCTTTGTGGATACTAGGATTGCAGGATCTATCTAAAATGTGTGTTAAAAATCAGTTTATCTTCCAACTAAACCCTCAAAAATTCCAGTATCTCCAAGATGTGCTTGGAAGCAATTTATTCTTTTGCTCTTTGTGTTTCCCTGACGCTTTTCAGCATTATTTTTAATGACGCTGTGTTACCAGAGATCACTTTTGGTGGATAACACGGTATTTATGGAGAAACCAACAGCTAAATCTGGTTATCATTGACGTTGCTTATAAAATATACATAGCAATCAAGATACAGACCGTGGCAGTAAATTGAAAATATATTGAAAACATAAAGCATTTTTTCAATTTATTAGTAATATAAAAAATATTTGGGCATTTTTTCCCCCCCTTGTTAAAAAGAAAGATGTAGAAGCTGTTGTAAGGAGAGCTGGAGCAGTGTTGGTCCAAGCGCCAGCGTGGTGTGGAGGGTGAGCAGCGTGCTGGGGTTTGTGGGCTTTCAGATCCCCGACAGCCCGCTCCAGACACGCTCCGGCAGCACCTGGGCCATGGTCCTGGCTACTGAAGGGCTTGTGGAGAGAGCCCAGCCCAGAGCAGAGCCTGACTCAGGGTTAACACCCACCGTCCTGGTCCTAAGGGGTCCTGGGAGCAGGTTTAGGAGCTGCTGGAGAGGTGGTGGCTTTGCAGGGGTGGCATTAAAATACAGGTCAGGTCACTGCTCCTGCCCCCACGGCACAGCGCAATTTGGGCACGTTGTTGAAGGGTTAACCCCGGCCACTGCTGGGTAAGTGTAAAAATATTAATAAGGCTGCCGCGGGTCGCCCTAAAATGGGAATTTACGGTGGTAGTCGGAGCTAATGTTTTGGATCAATGCAACATCCCTTCTCAGAATGAAAAAATAAATTAAACAAACCGTCATAAGGAGGGTATGTAACCAAATCAATCATATTTATTGCATTTAATCAAAACTTGATTCTGTTAAATTTATTCCATATGATAGCCGTGCGTTTCGCGCGATGCTCACCTAGCCGAGGTGGTGGGGGGGGCTTGGTGAGCTCCGCACCGCTCGCCGGAGGGAGGGCTCAGCCCCTGTGTCATTACACCTTATTATATATTTAATAAGATTAGGGGTATTCATTTGCGTACGATGCTTTGAGCCATGCGTGGTGGGAGTGTGTATATGTACCCAGGGAAAGGATCACAGGGGCTTTACTGTGGGTAAATACTACTACACAAATTACTAAATACTACGATCTTTAGTAATCAGTGTCACTCCTGCTCCCTCCTTTCCACCCTGATTGTTGGCTGCATCTAGAGAGCGAGATGCTCTGCCACCGAGCAGCTGCCCAGCACACACCAGCACTGTCTGGCGTGGCCTTGCGGGCAGCTGTGATGGGACAAAACCTCCCCAAAACCCCCAGGCAGGGCCGGAGTGGGGCTGAGGGATGCTGCACAGACACGCTGGTTTACGCCGTGCCAACATCAGGCAATAGAAATGGCAGCCCCTGCTGCTGCTCTTTCCGTGCCAGCAGAGATCCCTGCTCCACGCCATCCCTGCCCTGGCATGGCCTGGCTGCTTTCAGCTCCGCTGCTAACGGAATCCACCTGCCCTGGGCAGAGGTGTCCACGCCTTCAGGAAAGCTTTTACCCCCATCCCACAGGAGCAGGTCACAGGGAGCGAGGGGAGCTCACACCTCCTCTGCCTGCCCGCACCCACCGGGTGCTGCATTTCCATCCTGGAAGGAGGATTTGATCACACAAACCTTCCTTCTCCTCCTGGAAGTTAAATATTAGAATTCTTCCTAGCTGCATATATAATTCACTACATTAATCTTCCTTTAAAACATGTTCCTTCCACAAAGCCCCTCTGTATTGATCCAACAAAGACAATTATATATTGTGGGGGGAGGGGGAAACAGCTGAAATATTTGAGATTGGCCCCTCAGCGGGATTTATTACGTGTCTGAACTATAGTGTCTGCCTATTTTTTATTCTAAGCCTCTATGACAGGGGTCATGTCTTCCTCCATATACTGTACAGTGCTGTGCACTCCGATGGGGCTATATTAAATACTCAGGATGATTAATCACACTGTATAAATAACACCGTTCTGTTGTGTTTGTGCACGCGTGTGGATGTCAGCGGTACCTCTGTCCCGCACAGCCAGAGCGCCCTCCTCAGCAGCAGGTACTGCTGCCCCATGCACCAGGCGCTTGCAGGGTCCCGAGCATCGTGGTCTGACTCTGAAGTGCTCCTTGGTGTGTGCAGAGGGTTGGTCTGGAGACCCTCAAAGTCCTTTCCAACCCAGATTTCTTCTGGTTGTCTGGTTTTTCCCAGCCCGGTCGGTGGCAGTGACCTTTCTGAGCGGGATGCAGTCCCAGGGCAGCTCCTGAAGGTGATACAGGGCATGAGCCTCAGGGCTTTTCGGGTACCCTGCCTCTGCGTGGGAGCCCATCGCCCTCTGCCTCGGGGCACGGAGGGCGCAGGGTGGTTGATGCCCTTTAGGAGAGGGATCATGTGCTGTCTCTGTCCGTACCCCTAAATAAGGAGACAAAGCAGAAAGCATCTGCAAGCCTGACTGTGTAGGGAATGAGAAAATAATGAATTACCAGGATCGACTGTTTGTAAATGTGTGTGAGATTAATGAGCAAAAGCTTCTCCATAACACAGAAGGCATGAAATCAATCCCGCGCTCCGAGAATAATGAGGGAATCAATAGGATTACGAGGTTAAGGCTGGAGTAAACCTGAATGACAGCTGCAAAATAAATTTTATTTGGAGGACGTGGCTGGGGTTAAATGAAACGTAATAAATAATGTAAAGCATTTAAGGGGTGGGGAAATGGTCCAGAGATGTAAGGAAGAACAGAAGGCCCCACAGTCGCTAAATCTGTCCAGTTTATATCCATGGTGTGTTTTCAGAGGCATACGATGAGTGTGACATACACCATGCCTGTGGCTGGGCTAGTGCCACTGAGAGGTTGTCCCCTGTCCCCTCGCTGTCTGGGATGGGGACAGGAGTGTGGTGGTGGCAGCGGTGCTGCTGGGACCTTGGGCTGCAGCAGTGGCACCAAAGCAGGAGAGGGCTGTGCACGTGTGAGCCGTGTAACACCACCCGGGACGCATTCAGGGCGCATCGCATATGAACTGCAGGTTTGTGCATCCCTTTTCCCCTGCGTTTCTCTTCTGGTGTCTGATCAAAAAAAGCTGACGCTGCCACCATCCCATTTCCCACCGGCCGCAGACATCCTGAAAACCTGCTGCAGGGCATGCAGACCTCTCTCTGCAGAGCCCACAGCTGGGCTTGGGGCTCACACGTACCCCCATGCACCCATCCGTGGTCACTCAGGGGGGACACGGATCCTTCCAGCAGCAAGAGCCTGAAGCCACTCCATGCTCACACCTGCGGTGGGCACGTCCTGGCCTGCTCTGGGCATGGGGCAATGGGGCTGCAGCTGGACGGGTTCGGTGTCCTCCTGAGCTTGGCTTTAGGAATAAAAGATGTGCAGGTGGGAGCAGGGCTGGGATTTCTGGTTGTTGAAGAGCTCGGTGTCGAGTCTGCTGCTCTCTGAGAACTCAGCGACTTTCGATGCTTCCGTGAAAATTGAGCTGCTCTGAAAAACTGGCCACAGGGATGGGTGCCAAACCAGTCTGAGCGCTGAGGTTGTAACAGTTGCACTGATTTTTTTTTTCTGGCACAGTTAACTCCTGGTCCTGCTCTTCCCTGCGAAGATTTCTTAGGGAAGGAGATCTGGAGTTCCCAGGACACAGTCAGTGCTTTAGAAGCAGAGCCCAGCCCAGAGAGACATTAGCTGCTTCTGCCCCCGAGGAAACACGTATCTGCTCCAGGAGGAGCAGCTCCAAGCGGGGATGGGACAGCGGAGATGTTGCTCTTGAATCTTCATGTAAAAAAACCCTCCTGCTTCCTTCTGGGGCTGGTTCCCAGGAATCCCCACGGGGCGCTGCTTCCCCCGGATGCTTTTCCATCAGGTTACCCTGCTCTGCCAGGACGTGTCCTCCCGGAGCGATCCGTGTATGCGGCTCAGCCCTGCTAATAACGGCTGCGTGTGTTTTTTTCCAGTCATTAAGTGTATGACTAATAGAGCTGTCCTGGCTGCATAATGCACGCTGACAACAGGGAGCCTCAGGGGAGGGGAACAGAAATAGAGGGATATGAAGAAAATGGCTTAAATTTATCCCGGGCCCGGGTTTTCCCCGTAGGTGTTACGTCCCCGCTGTGCTGGGGAACCAGACAGTCGCCTTCTGCCGCCGTTCCTGCTGCAGCAGCTCTGTGTGTCCGTCTGTCCGTCCCAGTGCAGCACGGTGGCACGCTGTGCCATGCTCTGCCCCTGTGTGGGGGATGCCGTGGGCTGGTCCCTCGTGGGCGATGGCCCTCTGCATCCCGACCCACCCTGGGTTCAGCTCTGGCGGCACCAGCACGGGCCGTTAACTGCAGCGCTGGCCGGCTGTGGTTTACCCCACTGCTGCGCTCTGAGGGTGTGCAGGGAGGGGGTTGCGAACCTCTGCATGCACAGGCAGGGCCCCGCTGCCTGCTCACCGCCTGCCTGCTGCCCGTGCAGCGCTGTGCCCCCAGTCCAGGGCAGCACCTCCCCGCCGGGGTCCTGCAGCCCCACCTGCCTCCCACATGAGACCTCTCTGCAACAGGATGCAGAAAAATGCCTTTAAGTTTCCTTTTAATAGCTCCTGTAAATCTTATTTTATGCTAAAGCTAAAGACACATTTATTATTGTCATAAAGGAGGAAGAACTGGTGAGTCCCCAGCTGGCCCCAGACCAGGTGACTCGGGAAGAGCAGAGGCAGCAGGTCGAGGGCCATTTGGCCCATTTGGGGACATATCAATGACACCAGGTGAAAAACTCCGACTGCTCACTGTGTGCAGACCCAGTGCTTGGGATGGGCTCAAGGAGCCGAGGGGCCCTGGGTGCAGCACACGGAGCCGTGGGTCAGGGCTCGGGGACCAGGCTGGGGAGA